AACTACATGGGGGGAGGAGCTTGTGAATGATCTCAGGGCAGTTGGGACCACAGTCACCAAAGCATTGGTAGCACAATACACCGCCATGGATTGAGATCCTGCAAGTCCCCCACCTCAGGAAGGCACATGTATGGGCCCGGCCAATGAACATCTAAACCCGTGGTTCTCAACTGGTAGGTCGCGACTCCGTGTCCAGCGGGTCCCCCGTGTGCTTTCCACTTTTCTAGGTGAGGCACTCCTCAGCCTCCCACTAGCGCAGCACTGTAGGTTCTCGCTCCAAGCAGCCATTCAAAATATGCTGCCAGGTGTAAGCTTGATTAGATTTTTTTTTTTTTTTAAATGTCATTTTTTTGGGGGGAGTGCGTATGTGTCTGTGGTTGTGTATATGTGTCAGTGTTTTTGAGGGCCCATTCACACTAGTACAGTGCCTAAATCACGAAGTCCCGTGCCATTAATGCACTGTACCACGCAATTGCACCTACCATGCGGTCTGGTGTGAGAGGTGCATTGTATTGCCATTTATTTGAATGACACCCCAAAACGCATCTCCCACCCACAGTTCTATTGCCCGCACCAGAACGCGTTGTACCGCAATGCCATGTGTTCCATTGCCTTGCAACTTGGGTCACGACTTAATGACTGAGGACAAATGTGGGTCCTGAGGGTACACAGGTTGAGAACCCTTGATCTAAATCAGGGATGGCAAACTGCGGCCCTCCAGCTGTTGTGGAACTACAAGTCCCTTGAGGCTTTGCAATATTCTCACGGGCAAGACTCGCAGAGGCAGATGCATCATGGGATTTGTAGTTTCACCACAGCTGGAGGGCCAGAGTTTGCCACCCCTGATCTAAATGATTCAGAGGATTGGGAGAAAGTGCTGCGGTCACATAAGACCAAAATTGAGCTCTTTGGCATTAACTCGACTCGTGGTGTTTGGAGGAAGAACAATGCCGACTATGACCCTAAGAACATCGTCCCCAACAGTCACGCACGCAGGTGGAAACATTATGCTTTGGGGCCGTTTCTCTGCTAAAGCTACAGGCCGACTTTGCCGCATTGAGGGGCCAATGGACGGGGCCATGTATTGTAAAATCTTGCATGAGAACCTCCTTCCCTCAGCCAGAACACCGAAGATGGGTCTTTCAGCGTGACAATGACCCAAAACATACCAAAGGCAACAAAGCAGTGGCTCAAGAAGAAGCACATTGAGGTCATCGAGTGGCCTGGCCAGTCTCCAGACCTTCATCCTATAGACAATGTATGGAGGGAGCTGAAACTTCGAGTTGCCGAGCAACAGCCAAGAAACCTTAAGAAATTAGAGAAGATCTATAAAGGGACCAAAATCCCTCCTGAGATGTGTGCAGACCTGGTAACCAACCACAAGAAACGTCTCACCTGTGTGCTCCCAAACAAAGGTTCCTCCACCAAGAACCAAGTCATGTTCTGCTTGGGGATGAAATATTTATTTTACTCCCTGAACTGCAACTTAATTTATAACATTTGTATCATGTGATCAGGACTTGGGCCAAATAGTGGCAAATTTGGGAGCTATCTCTACACCTTCTGCCCTGCAGACTCAACAGGAAGTGAGAGGATACCTTCCAATGTGAGACAAGGACCCTGTTAATGGTCATGGGAACAAGGGTCCCCATTGAAGAACCCCCCCC